AACACACTCTGAGATGGAGCTAAGCAGCCTTCTAAGGCCTACATATTCGTCCAGGTTGTTTGGGCTCATCAGACACGAAACAAGATCTTTTAAGTTTGTGTCTTGCACCCAGAAATAAATGCATTCAAATGGAACGGGTGGATGAAGTTAAGATCTATTCTCTTCTTCAGAACTCTTCTTAATATGTGATTTGGGCTAAGACCTAATAGGTTGACCTTTTGTATGAAAGACCTCAGTCTTCTAGTAATGCCTCAATGCCAATTCAAACTTCTATGGCAAAACACAATCAATACTTAACCATAATGCAAACAACAAGCAAAGAAGTTGCATATGATAGGAGTACCTCATAGACAAATGAATTGACAGACTCATTATCTGGTACAGCATCCCGCCCCTTGCATCGGATCTGCAATAGTGGAACTGTATTAAGTTAGAATTCTCCAGAGTAAGATCCCATCGCTCCCAGCTTTTATCTAGAAAAAATGAAGAGAGAACATATTTTACCTTGATGTGCTTAATACCCAGCTTTGTCCATTCAGATGGTGAATAGTACCGTGTTGTATTTGTCAAATCAATCACCAAACCAAGCTGGAGAGTGGTGAAAGAGAAAAAAATAAAAAAAATAAAAATCAGAGGTCACAAACAAATAAAACCATGCATAAAACAGTTGCCAATCGAATAAAGCATCAACATGCATCAATATCTGCAAGAATTATATCTATCTAAAGTTAATAGTGCTTGTACTTCTGTTAATTCGACAAGAATGACTACAGTTTTCAACTTAGTTTAACCTTCAAGGTTTACTGGGATAAAGACATGAAATGCCTTTAGGTGGCGTAAAGGCTTTATTGTTGTTGTTTGTCGTTGTTGCTTTTGTTATATTTATTTCATGCCGATATTTTTTTTTTTTTGGGTGGGGGGGAATACCACATTGAACTACAAAATTAAAATGAATGGCGACAAAAGTTAAGTGCTTGTACAAGGCAACCTTTACACACAGCACTGCCAAATTTCAGTGAACATCGCAACTATAAAACCTGTGGGCTCACATAATGCATCTTATTTATGTGTTGCTTATATTATAATATGAAGGTTCGCATGACCTTCACGCCTCGTTTCGTACGCAAGAATGAAGTCAAGTGTGAATGGAATGGAATGAATGCCAGAATGGAATGTAAATTCTCATTCTCATGTTTGGGTGTGTTTCTAAAATGACGCAAGAATAACGATCTCATTCCATTCCCATGTTTGGTATCATTTGTTCACAAGTAAAAATGAAAATTTGTTTTCTACTAATGCCCTTACAACAATATAGATATTTTGAAAAGATTAAAAATGATAATAATGACTAAATAATTTCATTTTTTTAAAAAAATAAGTTTTTATAAAAATAGTCAACATTTCGTGTCTAAACCTTAGCATCCCAAAGTTTTTCTATGTACTAATGTGTACCTGCAAGTATAGGAAAAAACATCAAAAATCAATACTTCATACATATGCATAACATCAAGACATTCTTCGAACTGATCAATCTCCATCTTTCTCCTTTATGTAATTTTGTAAAAGACAACATGCAATTTGTTCTATGATTTCCTACAGAGCACCCTTTTATATGATTTTTTTCCCAGTCTTGTAATTACTTTAACTAAACACTTTAAATTATCTCTTGATAAATAATATTTCTAAATGAATTTGATAAGCATGTAACCTATCTCGGTAAACACTCGATGTGCTTAGAACAATAAATTCATGAAACACAACTGATTGCAACAATAAAAATCACATAAATTTCTAATGAGGATCTGCTTATTGCATATGCTACAGCTTTAAAATCATAAAATACAATTGATTACAACAATAAAAATCACACAGGATATATGAAACTCATATATCCTACATTTAATTCTATATGCTATATGTCATAAAACACACAACATTTTAATGGGAACTGATCGCATATGCTTACGATGGCCAAGATAAAATTACATACTATTATCAAGATGGATTGAAGCCACATCTATTTTTGTTTAAAAAAATAAACCCTCAATTACCTAGGGAAGGTGATTTTACCTAGAAGATGGATTGAAGCCACACATCAATTACCTAGAGCTGGTTAGAGCGAACATACTAATCAATACTATACTAATAAAGTAAAAACCCGGTTGCATACTTTTGCCACTTCACAAACTCTAAGAGCTACTAATAGCTAATAATCAAGGGTTCATTTTTCCACATCTCATCTCATTTCATCTTATGAAACACTTAATCCACTCCCTCCACATTTTGAAAATCTTCATTTTTTTTGTTTTCCAATTTCTATAAACCATTGACTTATCTCTTTTTCCAAGAAAATTTAATTTGCTCTTCTTTCTTTCTCAAAGTGCTAACATAAATAAAACCAAGTTAATATTGAATCCCGTGCATTGCACGGGTAACAACTAGTATCAAGATGAATTGAAGCCACACATATTTTCAAAATAAATCCTGCTAACTCAATGGGTAGAGTCAAACTAAAGAAAAAAATTATCATGATTTTAAGATATCATATCTATTTCATAACTTTTAAAAAGGGTATATTTGGAATTTGTTTTATCATTTTGATTCCCACTTTAAAATTGAAATGCCCATTCCCTGCTAACTTAATGAGAACGCCCATATGTGGGAATGGATGAGAAGTGGGAATAGGCATTTTGTCCTCCAAAAGTATGTTATGTTTGGTAGGCATGAATAGGAAGTCAGAATGGGCATTCCATGCCCACCCATTCTCACATACCAAACAAGGTGTTAAGTGTAAGAAAACAAGTGATCAACACATTTGCAATTAACACCTCGCACCCTCAGTATTTGCTTATTGTGAAAAGCAATAAACAAATATAAGATATGCGAATTACATTAAATTATTAGGACCTCTCGGACTGCATTGTCATGTGAAACAATCAGGAACATGACTCTCAAGCTTGGCTGTAAATTTGGTCTGCCTTTTAATAAAAAATTTCAGAGACCATGCTCTAGTCTAAAACTCAAAATGATTACTGGGCATGTTTTGTGCATGGTATATTTGCTCTACATAACTAGGAGGATGGAGTTAAAGAAATTAAACCCTGCTCAAACAAGTGATTTAATCATTTAGATCTAATGACAATCTCATAGGAAATTAGAAATTAACAGAAATGTTGACCATTAGCTAGCACTTAAACTAGTTCCTGACAGCTCCCACATTAAAGATGAATCAGTTAAGTACTTATCCAAATTTAGAGTCAATTAACATTTTGATCACTATCCCGGCCTACCAGGTTCAGTCATTCTAAGCTCTCAAAGATAGAGCCTTTCTAGGACCTATTCCCTTCTAGGAACTACTGATTTGATTAGACACGTCACCAAGAATTACCATAATCACAAGTGGATATCTCCTTAAAAGCTGAAATAAAAATGATTTAGAATTAATCCAATTAGGAAAATCTTTTAATATAGTTTCAATTTATTGTCCAAATCCATATATCTTGAACAGATGGTACAGGCAGAGTTCATATTGAAGAATTTTTGCAGTAAATACTTTATAGCGTGTACTATTAAAATACATGTAGAATAATGAAATATACACCTAAACTAACCAAACAAAATAGCAGTCTGAAAGCATATGGTACACTTACTTCCCGCTGATTTCTTCTCAGGGAATTTATCACTTGTTTCGAAGAATATCTCTTGCCAGGAGCCACTAAATCATTATAAGACTCATCTAGAGGAACCTTTGAAGGTATCATATATCCTATGGGTTGTCCATGTGAAGGGCAATCCAACCAACCTGTAACACCAACAAAACAAAAGACTAATCATTTGAAGGAATATGTAATGGCGACGTTCTGTATCTGACGACATGTTAAAATGACAAGAAAAAATAGAAGCCAAATAGAAGGTACAATAGATTGATAATGATCAGATTCAATAGGAGCAATCAACAGATTCCAAACCTTACCAAAAATGTACTGGGAACGGAAAGAAGACACGTAGGAAACATGAATAGCAGTTAGAAAGAAAAGTAAACCTGAGAAGACTAACCTCTGTGGTGTCCAATGTAAATACTTTGCACAAACCAAATAGTAACAAGAAACTTGTAAATGCCTTTTTCCCTTTTTTTGCCTCGACTCACTATCTTTAAGTTATTCTTGAATTTTCCCCTAACAAAAAGTGCTTTTTACTGGTAACATATATAGTTCTTGAGGGCATTAACGAAAACATAAAATCGCTGTACCATAAGTGACAAGATTTATTGAACAATGACATACACAACATTGTGCCAAAAATATAAAAAAACCATAAATATGTGCTCGTGTAATGCAGCCTCTATTGATTTTTCAGCTATATAAATCTGCATATCCCTAACTACATACACCTGATGGAAGCACAATATGTATAGCTGCATATGCAGCATCATTGTCGTCTTCAAAGCACTGTCGTGGTGCAAAACAAGAATAAAAGAAACGAGCAAGGTTTGCCAGGAGAAAGCTAGCAATTCCAAATCTAACCAACCAATGCAGAGGATTTGAATCCTTGAAACCATTTAGAAGATAATTCAAAAACAGATAAACTATGATTGACGCCAATGAAACGTCAAAATCTGAAAGGAGCCATCACAAGAACGATGTTTATGAAATCTCAATTTCTTTATCGGTTTTACTTTAGTGCTAAATTAGTATACTTAGAAATCACTTCTACATATTTTGATCATAAGAAGAGGAAAGCATGCCATTTAACTTTCATATGCCTGAAGTTTTCGTAGGGTGTGCATTGACCAACAAACTCTGAAAATTTAAAGTTCATATTTAGGGCTCAAACACATGATAGGCTCAGTGAACTTATAATTTCTACCTTTGGATTGATTGCACCATTATAGATAATAATCCTTGCAGCAGCTTACATAGTTCCTTCTCAAATATTTGGACAGACATGCTTATTTTCCCCCCTGAATAACACTTGTACTAGTCATTCTAGACAATTTGATCAAGTTTCTGGAATGTCGTTTGTTGGATTTATTTGATAGAATTATTCTTGAAACAATCTTTGTTCTTAATTTTTATTCCAACGAGCCCACTTTGAATAATAGCAAGAAACATCATTTTTTCAGAACATATTGTACTTGTAAATAGGACAACTTAGTAGAAGCATCTCCCTATGAGAATAAAGATTTCCTTTTCTTATTATTCATTTCAAAGGAGACATGGACAAGTCAGATGTCTATTAAGCATGATACTCTCCATAACAAAATGATAAGAAAACAAATAAAAATTAACAGCATTAAAATGTAAAATTAAAACTGTAACCAGGGAATGCAGACCTTGTGGGAGCTGCCTAACCCTTCCATAACCTCTGGAAGTTCTATTTTGATGCATATAATCATTCCTAGAAGGTTCTGAAAACTGCTTCGGACCTTCATCCCTGTTTTCTCTTTTCAACCGACGACGCCTTTCTTCACGCTCCTAACCGGTCAATAGATCATCAAGTAAGTGTATTCTCAGGGGATGGAATATGATGCAAGAACATAAAGAAGAACCGATAAAAGAAATATAAAGAAGAGGAAATTACAAGAAATCAAATTCAATAAACAAGGTTTGTAGGAAAAATTGCACAGGTGAAACAATATAGAAGTGTAACACATGAAATAAAAATCAAATAGACAAGGTCTTTACGAAGATACTGCAATTTATTGCTCCATCTGGCATCTACTTTCATCAAGTCAGAAGTTAAATATGTGAAGAAAGGAGCTTACCCTAAGCATGGTTTGCACTGATTCTGATGGTTGTTGTGCATCATCAACATATTCTTCATACGACTGTTCATATGACTGTTCATCATCTTCAGGCAACGGTGATGCATTCAAGTCCATGAACTATGTTCCTTGGCTATCCACCAATTCAGAAATAAAAAAACCCCGGGCAATGTTCTTAGCTGACGAGAGAAACAAAGACACTGATCTGAAAATATTGGGCATGGAAGAAAATTGTGTGAAAATAGCATCACACAACCTCGGTTGAGCAAAAAGAGTATTTCATGTTTCACTATTGAAAAAACTAATATGTCAGTCTTACCCGATGCTACATCAGTTACACACCATCCATGCCAAAACATTAATCAATGCTCAAACCACATAATCCCACATAACTAAAAGAGAAACATCAACAAAAAGAAAAACCTTAAATCTTATGGAATATGCATGTGATAGTTAATGAACCAAATGACCATTACTTAAACATGGGTGACATGATTACTAATTGCCAACCTTTGATTAATGTAGTTAATAGAAGGGGAAATTGCTTCTAGCCCCCAATTTCCTAACAACTATTTCACCTCCTCCCAAGACTTTTTCAACGCTCCCAAAACTCCCAAAAGTAAACTCATTATTCTCTGAGCCCCAAAAACACAAAACCCAAGAGTTTTAAACATGTGAAGACTATAATACCCTTTCTCTTTTTCTTTTTTTTTATCTGTGATGATTTCCCGCCCCATCTCCCGCCACCGCTGCCTCCGATGTCGATGCCGGTGTCGCTGGATCTCAACCTTCAGTCTTGTCAAATCAGCTGACTCGTGGGCCCCATGCCGCCTTCTATAATGCCTCCGTCGCTGCCGACAGTCGACGAATCTTGTTCTTGGAGGGTGCTTTCAGCGGGAGATAATCGATGGGACCCGGAGGCAGGAGGCCAAGAGTGTCGGTAGGAGGGGACTGACGTTCGATCTCAATGAGCCACCGCCGGCGTCGTCGATGCTGTTTTAACTTGGTTTTCTTTTTCTCTTTTTCCCCTTCTTAGAACTTAGTGCGGCTGTATATAGTTAATTTTGTTGTCTTTTACTTTGACTTTTTTGGTTTCTAGCTTAGGAATGAAGGGGGAAGTAGAGTTCAGTTTTTGGAGTAAAAACTTTGGTGCTGGCGTAGCTATTTTGGTGATGAATTAAAGGCTCGGTTTTGAAGGTGTTACGGGTTGGTTGTTAAGGTTAGGGGTCGGTTGTTAAGGTTAAGGGTTGGTTGTTAAGATTATGGGTTGGTTGTTAAGGTTACAGGTCGGTTGTTAATGTTACGCGTTGTGAATGTTACGCGTTAGTTGTGAAGGTTAGGGGTTAGTTGTTAAGGTTACGAATCAGTTGTTAAGGTTAAGGGTTGGTTGTTAAGATTACGGGTCAGTTGTTAAGGTTAGGGTCGGTTGAGATTACGCGTTGTGAAGGTTACACGTTGGTTGTTAAGGTTACGAGTCGGTTGTTAAGGTTAAGGGTTAGTTGTTAAGGTTGCGGGTCGGTTGTTAAGGACCTTAAGGTTACGGGTTGGTTGTGAACATCAGTAACCTTAACAACCGACCCGCAACCTTAACACCCGACCGGTAACCTTAAAACATCCAACCCGTAACATCAACAATCAACGCGTAACCTTAACAACCGACCCTAACCTTAACAATCGACTCGTAACCTTAACAACCAACTCGTAATCTTAACAACTAACCCTTAACAATCGATCCCTAACCTTAACAACCAACCCGTAACACCTTCAAAACTGACGTGTATCCTTCACAACCAACTCGTAACTTTCAAAACCAATATGCAACCTCCCTTCACCACCAACTCATAAGCTTAACAAATTTATTACCGTGAAATAACAATAAAATATAAATTTACATACTCTATTTTTAATCTCAAACTACCTAGGTTCACAACCAATTCGTAACAATAACAACCGACCTGTAACCTTAACAACCGACCCGTAACATTATCAACCGACCCATAATCTTAACCAACCCGTAACCTTAATAACTGATCCGTAACCTTAACAATCAATCCTTAACCTTAACAATTGATCTGTAACCTTAATAATCAAATGATAACACATTCACAACTAACGCGTATCCTTCACAACCAACGCGTAATCTTCACAACCAACATGTATCCTTCACAACAAACCCGTAACACCTTCACAACCGACGCGTATCCTTCACAACCAATCTGTAACCTTCAAAACCAACATGTAACCTCTCTTCACCACAAACTCATAAGCTTAACAACAAATTTATTACCTGAAATAGCAAGAATATATAAATTTACATTATTTTAATCTCAAGTTATCAATTTCCTTACAAGTATTCCGCCGATGAATGAACGTCGTTTTCTTCCCGATGGTGAAACTTTCCCGCTATTTCTTTACAAATATTCCGTCGAAAAATACTAGTTTTTCCATGACTTTTTCCTCGCCTCATGAATAAACGCCGAAAAAATATTACCGCCGATGTTGACGCCATCGGAAAATTCTGGAGGGAACTAGAATTTTTCCCCCTAAAACCCATTTTAAATCATCACAGTAACATCATGAAAAAAAGAGAGAGAGAGAAAGGGTATTATAGTCTTCACATGTTTTAAACTCTTGGGTTTTGTGTTTTGGGGGCTCAGGGAATTATGTGTTTGCTTTTGGGGGTTACGGGAGCGTTAAAAAAATCTTGGGAGGGGGTGGAACACTTATAATGAAATTGGGGGCTAGAAAATTGTATAAATTTGTGCCTGGCTCAGGCTACTATGTGTCTCAAAACTAAATACAACTATCTAGTCACAATGAAACTATAATCATCTTACCCTTTCATCTAAACATTATCCACAAAATTTCAAAAGAAAGTTACTATTAGCCTTTTAGTTTGAATGACCTGACGCCACAAGGACAGGAAACTTGGTTTCACTAGCAGCCAGAGGAAACTGATTTTCTCGATATTTTCCTTTCCACATAGTTGCCTAGAGCAGGAATTCAAATTGCACCCGGTCTTGTTTTGACTTCGACTAACATCAAAAGCCTATACATATACTTCCTCCCAGTGCTAATAGAATTGTTATACCATCTCAGAATTTAAATGGAAAGATACATATACTTCGGAAGATTTCCATATTTTTCTAGAAAATATTGATCAGCTAGAATTTAAATAAAAAAATAATGTTTGGTATGTTAAGTAGAATTAAACGAAGCAAACAAACTACTATGAAGTTATAACTGCACACAAATAAATTTTGTAAATAGTTAACAACCTCCTTGCTCCGTTCAACGACTTAAGAGCCCTAAACCCTAAAATCTTGCATCATTATGACCTAATTAATGACTTTCTACGGTTATAGTTAAGACGAAAATTCCTCCAAATTAAAAGCTAAAATTAGGGTTAAAGTACAGACTGCTTGCTTTCCTTGGAAATCGAGGTCAAATGCGACTAAAATTTAAAGAAAGAAAACAAAATCGAAAGAAACGCACCTTGAAATTTTGAGGAACCGAGGTTAATTTTGCGATATCGGCGAATTGGTGAGAGATCGAGGAGTGGGTTCAGTTTATCCCGCGCTTTTGCGAAGTAATAATAGAGGGCAATGAGTTATTGAGCCCGAGAGCATTTTTGGGGATTTATTTATAATTCAGGCGAGCCACGAGCGTCCGATTGGAAAAGATAGTGAGACTTGGAACATGAATCTTGAGTCGCGTAATAAGGACGGAATATTTTTCACTTAAACCCCTCTCATTGTGTTTAATTACGCATGTTCGGTACTGTCTGCCTCATTCACCTGAATTTTTGGGATTTAGTGTTTTTTGTATATTAGTCACATGAATCTTTAAAATGATTTGTCGCTAGTTCCTCAAATAGTTAAAATGACTATTGTCTCCCGAATCTTATATCTCTTCGTGGGTGCATGTAATTTCATGAGTATTAACGCAAATGGCAGGTTTATGGATTGATTCATCATATTTAGCATTCTTGGATGTTATGGACCGACAACATGTAAATATCATCATCTTCATCCTCAAGCCTTCTCCTAAAAAATGTCATGATACCTTGTCGGTGATAGGGTTAATTTCCTCTTCTTTCTTTTTTGGAAGAAAAGTCATAGCCTGGCTTGACTGGAGCTTTCCTAATCCACTCCAAGATTCTAGCACCATAGCTAGGTCTCAAGGGCAAAACCAGCATTCTCTAGTATTTGAGCTCAAGTAAAATGTTAATATATCACCTAGATTCCTAGTTTTCTTTGATTTGTGGGATGGCTACAAGGACTGAGGATCTTGGTTAGAAGACTCCTATGCTCGAGGGAAAACCTGAGTTTGATCACTTAAGCCATCAAGAGTATTTAATCTTTTCAAGAACAATCCCCCGCAATTTGGGGGCACGAAACATACTCAACAATCCTAACGAACACTGATGCATAGAGACCAAACGGGAGTGAAGAATAAGGTTGAGTTGCTAGACATAATACAAATCTAAATTATAATATTTGCTCAACAAAAGAGAAAGAAGACAAAATTAGGGTAAAAAAATGATACCTTCCCATATCGTTTCCTTGAAAAGCATATTTTGAAGTTAAATCCTAAAATAAAGTGTTATTTCAATTTTCATAAGTTGTCTTAAAATCAGTCATTAAATTTATTGAAATTACTAGAAGGTCTCTCAAATTAATCCCTCCAACCAAAACCCTCAATAAAGAGATATAAGATTTTGGAGACAATAGTCATTTTAACTATTTGAGGAACTAGCAACAAATCATTTTAAAGATTCATGGGACTAATATACGAAAAACACTAAATCCCAAAAAATTCAAGTGAATAGGACAGACAGTACCGAACATGCGTAATTAAACACAATGAAAGGGGTTTAAGTAAAAAATATTCCGCCCTTATTACGCGACTCAAGATTCATGTTCCAAGTCTCACTATCTTTTCCAATCGGACGCTCGTGGCTCGTCCGAATTATAAATAAATCACCAAAAATGGTCTCGAGCTCAATAACTCATTGCCCTCTATTATTACTTCGCAAAAGCGCGAGATAAACCAAACCCACTCCTCGATCTCTCACCAATTCGCCGATATCGCAAAATTAACCTCGATTCCTCAAAATTTCAAGGTGTGTTTCTTTCGATTTCGTTTTCTTTCTTCAAATTTTAGTCGCATTTGACCTCAATTTCCAAGGAAAGCAAGCAGTCTGTACTTTAACCCTAATTTCACCTTTTAATATGGAGGAATTTTCGTCTTAACTCTAACCGTAGAAAGTTATTAATTAGGTCATAATGATGCAAGGGCTCACAACTCGTTGAACGGAGCGAGGAGGTTGTTAACTATTTACAAAATTTATTTGTGTGCAGTTATAACTTCATAGTAGTTTGTTTGCTTCAGGAGGTTGTTAACTATTTACAAAATTTATTTGTGTGCAGTTATAACTTCATAGTAGTTTGTTTGCTTCGTTTAATTCTACTTAACATACCAAAAGTGCAGTTATAACTTCATAGTAGTTTGTTTGCTTCGTTTAATTCTACTTAACATACCAAAAGTTATTTTTTTATCTAAATTCTAATTGATCCATAATTTTTGGGAAAATATGGAAATCTTCCGAAGTATATGTATCTTTCCATTTAAATTCTGAGATGGTATAGCAACTCTATTAGCACTGGGAGGAAGTATATGTATAGGCTTTTGATGTTAGTCGAAGTCAAAACAAGACTAGCTGCAATTTGAATTCCTGCTCTAGGCAACTATGTGGAAAGGAAGAGAAAATATCGAGAAAATCAATTTCCTCTTGCTGGTAGTGAAACCAAGTTTCCTGTCCTTGTGGCGTCAGGTCATTCAAACTAAAAGGCTAATAGTAACTTTCTTAGTGAAACCAAGTTTCCTGTCCTTGTGGCGTCAGGTCATTCAAACTAAAAGGCTAATAGTAACTTTCTTTTGAAATTTTGTGGATAATGTTTAGATGAAAGGGTAAGATGATTATAGTTTTGCTAATAGTAACTTTCTTTTGAAATTTTGTGGATAATGTTTAGATGAAAGGGTAAGATGATTATAGTTTTATTGTGACTAGATAGTTGTATTTAGTTTTGAGGCGCATATACATCTATTTTATTCACATGCAAGCATATACATCTATTTTATTGATAATAGATATCATATCCTATAATCACTATTTTAAATATCGACCGATAATCGATATTATCAGCCGAGTTATCGGATTTGGGAGCTCTCCGCTAGGATAAATTGGATTTTTAATCGGTTATCATTTTTATAGATTTATCGGCGATTGATCGGCGTTATCGGCACTTATCGACCGATAAGTAAGACTTTTTTATCGGGATTATCGGGATTATCGGCCCATTTTGACTAACATTATATTTTTTTCAAGGCTATGATGCAAGTTTCATTTTCTACAATTGGTTAGTGATTCTAAACATGATGATTTATATTTTGGTATGTTTATATTTCATTAAGCATGATTAGATTACATTTTTTAATTGTTATATTATATATACACATCATCCAGTATATCACTCCGATAAATACTACTTATCCCTGATATATTCTCGATTCTATCTGATAAGGATTGTGGCCGTACGATAAATCCCCGATAACCGATATTTAAAATCTTGCCTATAATAGATATCAGATCCTATAATAGTATATAGTTTTGAGGCGCATATACATCTATTTTATTCACATAATCACATGCAAGCATATACATCTATTTTATTCACATGCAAGCAAGCATACTATTATAGGATCTGAAATTTTTAGTCACATGCAAGCATATACATCTATTTTATTCGGATTTACCACATAAAAGAATAATTAGTAAAAGATGAAAAAAGTTAGCATCTTCTGTCTTCGAGATCAATTGAAATGAAAAATGAAAGATCATGTCTGTGAGAACATGAAAGACATACTCTTTACCTAAAACCCTAAATTTATGAAAAATAAACAAATAAATAAATTACCTTAAGAATTAAAAATCAATATTGATAGTAACTTTAAGCTTCAACTTACGTTTTGATAACTTGAGAGGGAAGACAGTCGAGGTTTGAGTAAACGACGATCTCCGACTGACAACGACCTTCACGGGATCGCGACCTTCGAGGGAGGAGTCGACGACGAGATTCGAGGAACGCCGAGCTTGGAGGGAGTTGTGAACGACAAATATACGGGTATCATGGTCAGATGATCAGATCTGAAGAGTCGACGACGAGATTCGAGGAACGACAGTGAAAACCCTAGCCCTAGAATTCAATTGGAGTCGGATCTAAAGGAGGAGAG